AATGTGATTCTTATCCTGGTTTACATTTTATGTTTCTGTTATATGTATACTGGTAGAATATAGCAAAAGATATTCGAGAATTTGTTCAAAGCGATAAACTTTGCGTGTTCCATCTGATTGAAACCGATGAATCCAGAGGAACGCGCGACGTGAGACGCGAGTTTCATTCGCATTTTAACGCAAATCTCATTAGCACGCATTTGCGTCCCGCGCGTCACGCCGACCTATTATAAAACCGCGCGTGCAACCAGTTATCATCGCGGTATTAGTCGGCATTACTCAAATATTAAATATCCGTTATTCGCGCGCGAGAGAAGCGGGTTGGGCGTGACGGCGCGGCGGTCGGATTTTATTTGAATTTAATCACAGGGTAAAGTGCCCGTATTAACCGGGATACGTGCTCTCCGTGCAGCGGCGAGAAGGAGGAGAAGAAGGAGAAGGAGAGGACGGGAGGGAATTTAATATCCGCTATAAGCGAGCGCATTCGCATATGTGGCACACGAATAGGAATAGCCGGCTGGCCGAATTGTCCGAACAAATTTGCGCGCCGTCACGGAAACACACGGAAAATGCGCAACGCGAAAGCCGCGATTCTGCAACGGCAGCACGGTTTATACGGATCACTTTGTTCGACGTGCAAAAATTTCGCGCGTCCGCGCCCGTAACGTTCGCGTAACGTTCTTCCCTTCCTCGTGTGATTTTACGACGGACAGGTATCGTACACTTGCGGAGCGAGCTTGGCGTGGCTATCAAACGCACGTCACACCCGGTCGGTCGGAATGACTCGTTGTTGCTGTATCAGAACTCACGAACTGTTATTACAGTTCATCCGATAGCACTCAAATATTTTCACGATAAATATTTGCAAGCTTTCCGTGATACATTTGTACGAGATGCATGTACGTCACATGTGTAGCAGTTATTTATTTCACTATTGGAATTCGTCGAGTTATCTAAATTTAAGATATGATTCTTAAAATATATGGTTTATATATGTTATAGTAAAATTCAGTAAATGTATACACTTACAAGAGCTATATAATTACTAATTTATAAATATGAGTGTGGTGAGATAGAGGGAAAAACTAATCTAACCCAACCCAATCTGTATCATTGTGATATATACATATAATGATATTGCTTATTAAAAGATATAAATTTGAAACATAAAATTTAGTAAATGTATACATTGACTTGTAAATGCATACATTACTAGTAAGTGTATACATTTACTGATTTCACGCTTTTACTGTGACATATATGTATATGTTTATATATTTGTTATATATTCATAAAATCTTATAAACGGCATTTTGCGTATTATTATTTTGATTGTTAAAGATTTCTTATAACTTCGCGTTCTCAAGTTCTCTGCACTGATTGATAATATTAGATTTGTTTTCGTAATAAATACATTGAATTGAGCATTCCATTTTATTAGAATTAATACGACATTTTAAATATATATCAGTATTTAAATTTTATACTGAAGGAACGAACGTCCATACGTTTTACGCGTAAGGATAAAAACACCCATATCCGGTGAGACCCCGGATAAGAGTTGACGGCACTCGCTTCTCGAAACGTGGAGGCGAGAAGAAAAAAAAATTCGATGAGATCGTTCTCCCTCGCGGCCACTGACGCCTTCCCTCGAGCTCTGGTATATTTGCGAGATCCGTTTTTGCCCGCGATTTCTTTTTATTGCCGTCGCCACATTGACGTCAATCTCGCTCCCATAAAAGCCGTCGCACATGTGCGAGGTTCCGTGCACAGTAGCCTCGCGGACGAACGCGCGAACTTGTATCATCCATACTGTCGCGCTTTAAAGAGCCAATCAAAATTCCACGTTGACCCACTTTGTGATTGACCAACGATACTATACGTGTTCGCGACTCGACGATGCGGCCTGATAATCGCTCCCGAACGTGATCGCGTTCCGACGCGTACGTCGCTGCCCATCGCAGGAAGCTATTATCGCTTCCATGCACCATGTCATCCAAATTGCATGCGAAGCAAGCCGCATGAATAAGGGAGATCCGATGCTTGCGCATCCAGCGGGAAGCGAACTGAAAAAAGTTTATATTTATCCTATCTCGATTTCAACTTTGAAAACATGTTTTGAGAGACAAGCGATATAGACATATATTTTATGTACTTATATATCGTCCTGCAGTACGCGTGGGAAACGGAGCGATTTCTCTTACTTGATTTGGTAGCAAAGTGACTTTTATAAACGATATGTATGCGCTGGAATCTTCGGGAAAGACATAGTAGGTACCCCCCTATGAAATAGACATTCAGTCAGAAAGAAATAACTGTTTTCTTGAGAACTAAAACAGTTGCTCGCAAAGTTACGCTATCTGATTTTTGTTCTCCCTGTGCAATAAGCATCCGCGAGGATAACGATGATCAATCATCTTTTTTTGATAAGGGAACGTTATAATTTTCTTATAGGAACAAACAACAAACACTAAATCAGCAATCTACCGTCACTATGTCCAAACGTTAAAATGGATGACTCCACAAATCATGATCCGAATATTTTATTTCGGAACGTGTCGACAGTTCATTCGCGCGATACCGTATCGTATAGCCGATAAAATACTTTAGAGCATTTTTTAACGAGAACACTGTTATTCTCGATCAAATTTTGCAGTCAGCGTACCGAGGATTTATTATCGGGGAATATAATTGCCGATGCTGAATATGCATTTATGTGCCGCCGATTTGTCGATACCGGTTCGCCGATATCTGTGCCGATTGTGCGCGCGAGTGAATGGCCATGCAATTGAAATTCAGTTTTCCGCGGTACTCGTGAGAAGCGGAGGAAACGTTAAGCAATAATTTCAGTCGATTTACCCACCTACACGGGAAGAATTAGCGGGCTTAATGTGCAGTTGACAGAATGACGAATCGCGCCAGCCGATCCCTCTTCTCGCCCACACGCGCAATACAGTTACCATCGCTGGTCCACGCTGGATGTTGAAACGCAACAGCGTATAAAAGTAATGAGTTAATAAGCGTAAAGTTAAATTATTTATTTATAAACGACCGCATTAAATTCAGTAATTTAACACGGTTGTTTAAATATCTATGTAATGATAATGATAAAGTAACTGTATAGAAATTTACAAAATAATTGCTAAATTACTGCCGAAATAATCCCAAATTAAGCTGATAAATATAAAATTAATATATTCAATAAATCTTCGACCGCGATATATCTATAAGTCACATCTGACATTAATATTTTGAATGAGCTTATATACAGATAAAATTCTGTTGTGTAAAATAATACGTGTATATATTTACAGATTTGTATTATGTATAGTATACAAACTTTATTAATTTAATTTAATTCTATTTAATCTTGTTCAATTTTATTTTATGCGATACTTTTAAAATAAATTCCTTGTACAAACATTCAGACCTTTACGAACTTTTCGGAATTACTCTTGCGTTTCTTCAAACGCCGCTCCTCGTATTCGAAACCCGGTTTTTTTTGCGTGGATGAATGCAAATGGTCGGAATAGCATCGTTTCGAATAGCATCGACTTCGTTCTCTCGAGTCAACAAAAACAAATCTCCACTAGACGGGTCGATAGTTTTGGTACTCGAGAGCGTCGAGGACGGGGCCGCAGTTAGCCGAATTCGCGAAAATAGAGGACAGACCGGAGATACTGAATTTACACGTTGTAATAACTAGTGCCGATGTCAAGGACTTTCGTCGATGTAATTACATTGCCACTGCAGTGCCAGCGAGGGTTGACGTTCGTGTAACAAACAGGAGCAGTTTCCCGCGGTGCAACCGCGAATGCTGCGATGGGGAAGAGTAGCTTCGCTACGCATCGTTGATCACATGTTCGATTAAACTCAAAATATCTACTGCTCTATTTGCGGAAAGAGTTTTCCCCCCCCCCCCCCCACAATTTTGGGAAGAATTTTGCGTGCGAGTACCAATGTCGCGCTCATTTGCCATAAAAAATGTTTCACTTTCCGAAATTTATCAACGTCGGAGGGAAACATTTAATTTAATATGTTTCGTTGTTTATTTTAATTAAACGGCAGTAATAAAACCTCTACAGTTATGAATTTATAGTGTTTATACAGTCAACTGTAAATAGTGATGATGGCTCGGATGATGGAATTCACAAAAAATTTTTTTTTTCGAACTTTTATATTTGAGTGTTTCATGCGTCACACGCACTGAGATGAATTTAGAGCGATTTTTTTTCCGTGATGGTGAAAAATTGAATATTTTTGCTCGCGGTGCGAAATTTTGTGACAGTGAAAAATTCGTTTATCGGTAATGAGGGACGACGGCTTAATGGACGTTAAAATGCTTCGTCAGTAGTCGGATAATTACTTATTGGCGGCCGTTGAATAATTTTTGACGCCGCCGACGCGGTTCTTCGGTGAAACGTTAAATATTGCATGCAACATACTTTTTTGCATGCGCATTTCGTAAGCTTTTTTTGACGCGTTGCTTAATTTCCATGTAATCGAATGCATAAGGGTGGAAAGCGGCGATGTCCGGTATATGAAAAAAAAAGTGCAAGAACAGGCAGCTCCCGATCGATATACCAACGTTCACCAAGTATATATATATTCATTAATGCAGAAGCTTCGTAAAAAGCTTTGTAAAACTACGTATTACGATGTAGACCCCCGATGCACTCTTTTTTCAACGTTGCCTGTCGCTTGTTAACACTTGAGTAGTTCTGCAAGAGTCACTTGACTTATAAAGTTAGGTACTGGATTTAGTATGAAGTGAAAGCACAAAGTGCTTTAACCCTGCAGGTAGAAAAACATCTAATGTTTTATCAGGAAAGAAAGGAATTTTTAAAGGTTTTGTCGAGTTTTGGAATTTTAAATTTGCATTATATCTTCTGCCAGAATTGAAGATTAAAATTTCCATTTAAAAATTTCCATTTCGCATTACATGCTTTAACGAACGCAACATTTTAACATCAGTTTAATTAATTGATTGATTGTTACAGGTCCGTCCCCAGACTTTAGCACACACACACTGGTGAGACCGCGAGTGTATCACGGCAGGACGAAACGGCAGATCTCGTCAACCAAAGAGAATGTGAGTTCAGCTATTTTTTGAAAAAGATCTTTAAAATCTCATAAAATAATGTAATACGTGTGCTATATCCCGCAGCTTCTAAAATGCTACTCAGGCTCGATCGCGATATCATTATTTAAGAAAAACACTCTATATTCAAGGATTTCCTAAATCAGCTCCCTTTCATCCCTCTTTGTCGTGTCATATAACACTTGACCTGTAAATATGAATCATGATAACGTTTTTTCGTATAACGATTTTTATCCCTTCGTCCGCATACGTTTTTTTGGCACCTTTACGCCGCATAGGTGGGTTGTTTTTGTCTTGACGTTTTTTTTTTAAGTGTTAAAGTGTTACAAAAAATCTAAAAAAATTCATGGAGGTAATTCAAACCTTCAATTTGAAGTATCAATCATAAAATTATAAGCAATTTAATTTTTTCACATATTTTTTATTTAAGAAATGGAGCAACTACAACTACAACTTGTAAAATCATCTTTTACTCAAAAAATCATAACTTTAAGACAAATAAAGATATCGAAATGAATAAAAAAAGAAATTGAAGGGGAAAAACGTACCTTTCATAAAAAAAATATTGCATGCAATTATTTTGAAATGAAGTGCTTAAGTGTTCGCCGCCAACCTCGTTTTTTCAAGAATTACGTGTCTCCTGTGACGGCTGGAGGGGGTCTGGCGCCTTGAAACTCGGTAGGCGGGTTCTCGGGGAGCATAACTTTTTTTACGGATGCGCAGTGGCGCCATTTCTACGCGTTTGCAAAAGTTACAACTACATTTGATTTTCGCCCGGACGAAAACGACCCACCTAGTGGGACGAAGGGTTATTTATGATTCTCCGGCATAAATTTCGTCAATACATCTTTCTCTGGTAGAGAGACTTTCTCTGCTTCTCTCGTAACCATTAAAGATTATTTATGTGACAAAAAATTTTAATCGACCATTTTCTCATGCTCTATGACATTGTTTGTAATGTAATGCGCTTCACTTTCATCTTATTATGTGGTACCTACATGAAATTACAATTTAGTTTTACGCCCTCTCCGATTATCGAAACGCACCGGATATTCCGGAAACTTGGCGAAGGCCAACGCCCGCGATCTGTGACCTTCGGCGTAATGCATTGTTCGCTATCAGCCGCGATCACCGAATAGCTTTTTTCCCGCAAACTTTCGCGCGACTGCACGCGGTGCAGCCATTTGCTCGGGCGGATTACGATGCGAAACGCGCATCGGCGACGGGTGCAACAATTTCAATGCAAATGTCGCGGCGTGCAACGAATACAAAACCCGCCGAGGGTCGCCGTGCTATTAGATAGGATGGCGCCGCAAATAGAGAGAGAGAGAGAGAGAGAGAGAGAGAGAGAAATTTGACCGACGTTTTACCATTGCCAGTGGCAGATTCGGAAAAATCCGTCAGGGGAAATATGCAACAGAGAGGTTGCTGTATGAAAGATAGACATTTCGGCTTTTTCTCTTTTGATGTCCATCGAAGAGCTTATTTTCAAAAGAAATATAACATTTTTTGATGAAAACAGAGGAATACTTTTCCGGATATATCGTATCAACTATTAAATAAAAAATATTGACGACTAGTATTGGTCGCAAGTTTTGAAGATTCTTTAGAAATATCAGTCCCAAATTCTTTCTAAGTTTTCATAGATTTAGAAGTGGCTAAGATATTTATTAATATTATTTCGCAACTATTTTAAACTCTATTCAAACATCTGAAACATTTTCTGTTAATGTTCTTCTCGTGTAGATAATGGATTAATTTCAGAAATATGTTGAGAAAAAATATTATATACAAGAAACGAGTATTATACTCTATGATCAAAGAAAATAAGAACGTCTTTTAGTCGACCACGCAATAACATTTCCGTTTACTGGAAAGCCATGTAACGTCGAGATATAAAGTAACGTTTCATTTCTGTGAAAGCCGTTTTGAATACAGCGCGTTCTTGTATTTTTATCCTATCTTCGCCTCTTTCTTGGCGTAACGTACCACGTAATAGAAGATGGCAGGCAGAAGGGCAGACTTACAGGAACAACAACGGAATTTACATTGGGTGTACACTCGTCTCGGTGACATCTCTCTTGAATCCGTTATTTGGCGGGCGCCACAATGGACCTGCACGTACGTCACTTTGCGAATACGACATGTAACAAACATACTAGCGATAGTTCGCATCCCTCTAAATTCCGGCCGATAAAGAAATGGAACAACGGAAACAGGAATGTTTTACAACTTGACCTTTGAATTTGTAATACGACAATTTATCTATTTATTTGACAGTTTTTATGTTAATAATAAATCTATATATTACAGAGAGGAAAGAAGAAAAGACAGAATACATTAAGAAAATAATTGTTTAATTCGTTAATATAAAATTTACTCTCATATATAGATGCTTTTAATTAATAATATTTAATTTATATATTAAATATAATATTTATTAATCCTAACATACGCATAATTTTTATTAATTCTCAGATTTTACTACATTAATTTTCCACGCCATAATTTGTACTTTTTCATTAGATATATAATATTGTAATATATAATATTGGTAAACCAAAACAGATACATATATATGGACCAGATCACCAGAGGATTGACCGCATGCACTCCGACGAGTAAAGTAATTCTGCCGGGCAATATCGCCCTGTTCCGTGAGCAATAAAAAATAAGAATAAAAAATGTCGCGGGGGAATATCACGCGAGTAGCCTGTGTTTTAGTGGGGCATTCTTATGGGACATTCAAACATCGTGAACAATTCGCTTTATTGGCCTCCATCCAGCACAGTCGTCCGCGATCGTCGCACATTATTATAAACTGCAATATAAACTGCATATAAACTGCTATGACACCGCATGTCGCGACGCGTGAAAATTAAGAATCACGGATCAAGAGCTGAACAATATACCAGCCTTAGCACACTAAGCTGACTAAAATAAAAGTTACGTCGTTAAGAACATTATAATAAAGTAATAAAAGATTTAAGAAACCTTGAATTTTAATCTTGATTCAGAAATTTTTAAAACGCGTTTAAAAATCACGAGCTATCGCATATGAAAAAAAGAGGTCCAAAACGAAAAACGTTTTAGATCACAGCATTGCTGCTCTAATTTTAGGAAGCTTTTACGCCGATGGAGAACCTAGGGCAATGTGGTGTCAAGTTCCTCGCTTTTATCTCGACACTCTCTCTCTCTTTTTTTTTTTTAACGGATCCGGAAATGCCTGCACTAACATTTGAAATTCTAAAATTGCGAAACAAACTTCAACTATACCGCAATCTCGAATGCTGCGACCACACGGCGCGCGTACACGTATGTGTAGTAGTACCGCGTGCTCGTTGGTCCGGATAAGAGTAACTCAACACTAGTATCTACTTTGGTGTTGCCAAATATAGTTTACACCGTTTGACACGTGATTCTGCAGGAAACGTAGACGCGAGTTTACTAATACCGCAGCTGCTCGGCTGTTAGATTGCAGTTTCTAGCGTGTGACTTGCAGACTGTGATTTAGTGACACAAAAAGTTGCGACTCGCGTGCGCGACTTGGCCCTGAATAGACCGCGAAGCAAACTTCTTGATTGATGCTAAGTGGAATCGAAAAGAATACCGAACAACCGGTCTAACAAGACGATGAGAAAATGTAATATGTGCATACATGCATCTAGTCCATTGCAGTTTACAATGGACATACAATTGAATGCATAACCACTGCAGTAGATTAATTGTTGATATGCATCGATATTAAATGTATCTAAAAAAAACTTTGGATTTTGAACGAATTGTTCATTTGATTAATTATCGCGAATTTGTGATGGAAAAGTCGCTTTTATCCAATAAGCAATAACGTTATTAAAGCATTCAAGTTTTATTTCTGACGCGACAGATTCTTACAAATAATATAACACGTGAAAAGCTCTGATCAATATGAACATGCAATATGGACTTTTTCATTCTGTTAAACTTTAAATTGATTACTGATATCAATTGTCATATTTGGACTATTGACATCTTTGTCCGGGATTACGGCGATACCAATATCAAATGCAAACCATTATAAACCTCGCGATGTAGTCTTCAATGAAACGAGTAATTGATCTCGTTTCTCGTTATCACACAAGCCAGTATAGACAAACAGTATATCAATCCGCTTGATAGAAATAGCAGTTACAATTCCCTGCAATCCAGCGTCTCAAATAACACACACTCGATTGTTATTTGCGTTTCTGCATCTATCGCATGTGCGTATCGCGTGATATTTATTGATTCCGAGATAGGAGAATCGTAAGAGATACGAGAATCATGTCTGCCTGTCTTCAAAAGAACAGTATAAAAAGGCAATGTTTCGCATGATGTCCCGACGTTCGAGCTTCTTGCAGCGAATCTAAAACGGAATGCAAAAAATCGCGGAAACTATATTTAGAACAGAGAAATTTAACGCAGTCGGAAAATGTCGGTAGGAAAGGTCAGGGAACTATGATATAGTCTTCAATTCCTCGCCGCAACTTACAGAAACGAAAGAAATTATATTGTTTCGTTAATATTTGTCTCAGTATTATACGATTAATCATTAAATTTTATTGATTTTCTATACATTTACAAAAAAATATAATGAAAAATTTAACAGAATTCCTTTTTATGTACGAAGAGAGAAAGAATAACTCTTTTTACCTATCTTTCTCTTCATTCGCTTTTCTCGAAATATAATCGCCGCTGCATAGCGAACCCAAAGTGCTTTGAGTTCGTACGTAATTGCTTTAATAATAATCATTGATTCAGATATAACTTAGAACATCTCGGGAGCTTAACTTCTCTCGTACTCTCGGAATGCATTCGATTTCGCTGCACCGAGATATAATCGACTTTAGGCGAAATCGTCTATCGGGACCTGTGGAGCGTGGGTGACGAGGGGGAGAGGCAATTAGGTGATTAAACGGCTAATATGCGCGGAAGCCGCGGGGTGAGTAAACGCAATATCGGTCGATAAATTC